GCTGATGGTTGATGGGGAAGAGGGAGGAGAGAAAAGGACGGTAGCTGATGGTTGATGGGGAAGAGGGAGGAGAGAAAAGGACGGTAGCTGATGGTTGATGGGGAAGAGGGAGGAGAGAAAAGGACGGTAGCTGTTTAATAGGAAAGAATGAGGAGATATAAGGACGATAGATGTTTGATAAGAAAGTATGAAGGGAGGTAAGGAAGACAGATGTTTAATAGGAAAGGAGGAGGAGGGATAAGGACGATAGATGTTTGATGGGTAAGAGGGAGAAGATATAATGGTGATAGGATGTTTGACAGGAGAAAAGGAGCAAACCACAAAGCATTCATTTAATAACAGAGCATCTTCAAACCTGCCACATAAATCATTTACTCCAAAAGCACCTCCCATACAACCACATTAACTCTACCCGTACGCCCTGGGGTTAGTTTGTACCTTTGGGGTTGTATTCTTCACATTTTAGAATACTTCTTGTACGAAGATCTCTTTGAAACCTCCAGTATTTCTCAAAAAATCGTTTTGACAGACTGCTATGCAAAGCGTACGGATCGGATTAATTTAACGAGTAAATTTCTTCTTTCGAAAGTGTTGACACAGAGTTCCCCACGCCGTATGGATACGATAGTAAAACACGACGTACGGATAGGGTTAAGTGGTGGCACAGAGTTCCCCACGTCGTAAGGATACGATAGTAATGTGGTGGAAAAGAATACGTTGACACCGGCAAGTCTGTACTGGCGAAAATGTGACCCCGCACCGACCTGAATAGATTCAAGGGACTTGAGAGACCTGTTCACTCACTGGTGAGATCAACAAGGGACCGAGTAGGTCGGGTTGTTGTAGAACAGTGGCCATTTGGGCGTTTTGTGGATCAAGATCTTGAGAAGTACAGAAACATCATCATCCAGAAGTGAGCCCTCTGTCTTCAATATCGACAATGACAATGACAATGACAATGACAATCTTTATTCATCTCGCAGGGAGAAATTTGTCTTGGTCGTTAACAATGGCAGTAGACGTTACAAAAGCTTTATCAAAAGAACCTGCTTCTACAAGGTGAGTAAAATATTGTACAGTATAACACGACTCACGGATAGGGTTAAATCATGTACTCACAGAGCCGAGACGGTGACCGTTTTGGGCGGGGCGCGTGGTTCTATCTGGATGGAAGGTTTCCGGGTGAGCATGACCTCGTCAGCTGTTAGCTCTTGCTTGTTGGCGGTGAGGGCGCGAGTCTGTGGGCAGTGGGTTGGTGGGTTATGGGGTGGTGGGTTATGGGGTTGTGGGTGGGTGGGTTATGTGTTGGTGGGTTATATGTTGGTGGGTTATGGGGTGGTGGGTTATGGGGTGGTGGGTGGGTGGGTTGGTTGGTTGGTGGGTTAGTGGGGTGGGGTGGTGAGGGCGCGTGTCTGTGAGAAGTGGAAGGTGGGTTGGTGAGAGGGTGGGGTGGAGTGGTGTGGTCTGGTGGGGTGTGGTGTGATGTGGGGATTAGCCAACTATTTGCGCCAAAACATGATGGAATCAGACGCTCGTCACTTTTGGGACATGTTGGGTTATTGGTATCATCTTAAAGCTTGTTCATTTGCCTCTCTTTTGGGTAAAGAAACATCCGTCTATGTTGAATGGAAGTCGAATTTTGTGCAATGGAAGAGGTCAAGGTAGCCAAGTTTCAGAGGTAAAATTAGCGAGAAAATGGAAGCCAAAGTTTCGAAACTTGCATAGCCTTTGAGTCCTTGGAACTGAACATTTACTCCTTTTTTGGGGGTCTCTTTATCAATGCTTTTCAGTAAAAATCCACTCAAAAAATGTGTTTTTAAACGACATGAAAGGTGTTGTGCCAACAAACAAAAAAAGAATTATTTTTTAAAAATCGCCCTCCCCCCCAAGAAGTAAATAAATGCTGATTTCTTAGATTTCATTCTTTAGACGAGCGCCTGATTTGATCACGATACCTCACATTTTGCCACCAGAACCCCTGCAGTGCCCGCTAAGCTCAAAGATCAGAGACTCTGTGGGTCTCGCATACCGCGGACAATAAATCGCTGAAACAGTTCAGTAGGTAAGTGGATCTCTAAGGTATGTATTATTCTGGAGCGCATACATAATATTCTTATTTAATTCTTTTTTCTTTTTTTTTTGTTATTAGCGGATAGGGGGGAGAAGGGGGGCGATTTCGGGTTGTTTATATCAGTTTCAGTAAACATTTTACGGCACTTGCAACACAATAAAGTCATATACGTGCCGAAGATGAGAGGCGTTATAAGAGAATAATAAGTACAGTACAAAAAAGGAGGAGAGATAAGGACGATAGGTGTTTGATCGGAAAGAAGAAGCAAACCACATCAGAGCACTCGCCAACCACCCACAAGCTAAGTGCTTAGAACTTAGAGACTATGCAGGTCTAATATACCGTGGACAGTTCGCTGAAGCAGCCGGTAAGTGGTTCTGCTGGGTATCTATTGTTGTGGAAGGCATCCGTACACTTATTTTTAAGCATCTTCGTTTGGGTTGTTCAGTTTTTAGTTTTCGCTTTTGTAAGAGTTTTAGTTTTAATAAGAGTTATACGGCACTTGCAACACTATAAAGTCATACAAGTGCCGAAGATTAGATGTGTTACAAGAGAGTAACATACATAAAAAAGAAGGAGGAGAGATAAAGACGATAATTTTTTAATAGGAAAGAAGGATCAAACCACACCAGAGCGCCCGCCAACCACGTACAGTAAGAGTTTAACGGCACTTGCAACATAATGGGGTTATATATAAGTGTCGAAGATTAGAGGTGTTATAAGAGAGCAAAATACACAAAAAGAAGGAGGAAAGGTAAGGATGAATGATGTTTGATAGGGAAAGAAAGCTCAAACCACACCAGAGCACCCGCCAACCCCCCACAGGCTACGTACTGAGAGATTATGCGGGTCTCATATTTATTTATTTTTAAATTTTTTTTTAGCAGCTTCGGGCCGTTTGGTTCAGTTTTAGTTAAAGTTTTACGGCGCTTGCATCATAATAAGGTGATATAAGTGACAAAAGATTAGAGGTGTTACAAAAGAGCAACAAAGACAAAAAAGGAGGAGAGAGAGAGAGATGGATGACAGATGTGTTGCTATACATCTACTACTGCAATAATCACAACAGCTGCAACTACATCAAACCGCAGCAACCACATCATCTACATCAACCATATCTTCTGACTGGATCAACTACAACAACTGCAAAAGTGTAAACAAACGTAACAAAGACTACAATAACAAATAACAAGGACAACAACAACGACATCACCACCACCACCAACAACAACAACAACAACAGCAACCACACCACCACCACCAGCAGCATCACTACAAACAACAACCACACCATCACCACCACAGCGACAACACCAATAACACCACCACCACCACCACCACCACCAACAACAACAACAACAACAACATCAACAACAACAACAACAACAACAACAAACACACCACCACC